TCTTTTCTTTAGGTCTTCCAACTTTAATAATTCCAAAAGCTTGTTTTCTCGACATTTTATGCTCAAAAACAAGTAAACTTTCCGCGTTTAGTTGGGTACCATTATCTCACTGCTTGAACGAGTAATGACTAAAGAGACTTCAGATACAGAATCTAGATGAGTTATTCTGGGTCTTCCGCCCATTATCTTGTCTTTGTGAAGCATACTTTTGCTATTACAAGGGACGAATTATGGCCTAGTCAGGCTAGTCGCCCATTGTGGCGATGGAAAATAACAGCTAGAGTATACTAGTATCCGGATTCCTCCGCTTTCTAGGGTAAATAGCTTGATTTCCCGGGAACGGAAGTTTCCTATCCCTTTCATTTACTCTAATATCTATGACCGGATGTAATTAACTGATAGGTTTTGCCAGAAGAATGGATTGGGTTAGTTTATTAGTACCAGCTAGTAATAGAGGATGTATGTACTGTAATGTATGATAATTATGATGTACTGAATATTTGTGAAATTATTATAGTTAAGATGTACATGTGTACTATTGTCTAGTGTACATGCATGTAAAGTAGCTCTAAAAACTCTGATTTCCGGCTACATGTCTTTGCTTGCATATTGCTAGTTATGATTGTTGTTGATGACTGTATATACATGTATAGTCTTGTAATGGTAAAATTGATTCTAGATATGATTGTAAGGAGTCACGAGGTGAAGGAGGAAGGTTATGACTCTCATGCTTCACAGTTTCAGGTAGAATTTGCTATTGAAATGGAATATCATTTTTATATAGGTGGAAGACAATAACTATTAGCGTTGCAAGCAGAGTTGCTTAGTGCTGAGCAACTCTTTACAATGATGTACAAGCATTGAAAACTGAGGGATTTGCAAAAAAGTGTGGCATTCCTAGCCCAGGTATGACAAAAATAAATATACTAGAAGTAACTGTATAATTTTTATATTTATTATCATTATGTAGGATAACTACTTTTTAGGCTAGATTCTAAAGCTCAATATAAGGCTATTTCAAAGGGTCTCCTTATCTTTAAAAAGCAGTGATTTCAAGGATATTGAACTATTATAATTTTAATTGTGTAATTAAATTAAATCAGTATCTCAGTATAGTGTTGCATGCAATAGCACTGATAAAAATTAATCATAAAATTTCACTATGTTTATTATTAGACTTATACCAAATAATATAGAAAAATCATTAAAATGGTGTCACTGAACTCCTATTAAGAATAACAAATAGAATTCAAGTGATGGTTCAGTATTGTGATGCTTCATGCAGCCTGTAGTAGCAATTTTGCATTGATAAAGTTAAATTTTCGCTAACATGGCCTCTTCTATTGGTCCTAGCATAGTTAATACGTACATAAATTTATTGTCCAAGTACAGAAGTGTTTTAAAGACAGGCTATCCATGAATGATTCTCCTTTACATGGATATTTATGGTCAAGGGCGTAGGGAGAAAAAAAGGAAGGGGTAGGCTATGGGTAGAAAAGGGTGCGCGAAGCGCGCCGCCAATTTGGCCACACCCATTTTTACAGCCGCAATATGAAGTTTCATTTATTCTAATATCTATGGTTCTCGCAACTGCTTCACACTCAGACTCAGGCAAGACTCAAGGTAGCAGCACAATCAACAAAATCATCATTTACAATATCATCATCTTCAATTTCCTCATGCTCATCTTCAGTACAAATAGTCTATATGGCTGGGGTTGACTACTAATATACTC